ATTTGTAAATTCTGCACACTTAATTAAGTTATTGTTGATTATCTATTGGTTTAATTTAAGTGGCTATTGTTCGGGATGAACAATACTAAGGAAGGGGCAGTGTTACGACAGCGGAGGTGACGTGACGCTGGTAACACGTAATGAGTATCTAGAAAGATCGAGGAACTTGTCGAACGTCCTAGCAGTTGCTAGAATGGCACTCTTATAGTATATAAGCCGGAAAATAAAGTGACGGCAACAATGGAATAGCAGACAGAGAGATTGAAGATATAGACGGACAATTGAGTCAAGTGTGGTAGTAAGTAAAGTGCGTGAATCGTTCGTTGCGAATTATAGCGTGTGTTTAAGTTAAAGGGACTGTGGAAATTAAGTGTATTGCAAAGTTGTATTGAGAAAGAATAAACTAGTTTTATTTGAGAAAGGACTTATATCACTGAAGTTCTACGGAAAGAATTTTTATGAGTAATTAACTAACGACCACAGATGTAACAGTATAATATCCCTCACTATCTCAGAAAGTAAGGGCCTAAATGCCCTTTCAGTTGTTGTTCAATAAACCAACTGTTTGAACTTTAAATTAATAAAGTGGCTATCGCATAATGTATTGCATATAAATGTTATCATGAAACACCACTTGATAGCTTGGAGAGCAAGGAAGGCACTTCCTTTTGGTCATTAATTTTCCAATTAAGTGACTATCCTAGTTGCTGCTGCAGTCCTCGCTGATTGTTTAACTTCTTGCATCTGTTCCAGTGTTAGCCTGAAAGGTGCATGCATCCAGTGGCCTTCTTGACAACAGGATATGGACATTTCCACAATCAGTGATCAGACATGCTACATTCGAAGCAGGAACTCATTCCTTGATACCCATAGAACTTTTGGGAATACAACTGCAGTTACAATTGTGGTACAGTCATGGCATCTGAGCCTGGGAACCTGCTGACCCATTGGGAACAGTGGTTGCCATACCATGCTGATGTGTGGCAGTTTCTACTGTGGAGCTGGTGGAGTGATGAGGTAAAGCATCTTCAGTACATTGGGTGTCTTTACAGGTTCAGTAAGCTGTTTTGTAGCAGGGTCTGCAGCAGCAATTGCCACTGCTGCTGGCTTCCTCCCTTGCTCCAGCATTTGTCTTGATGTGACTACTGGAACTACCTATGTGAAAGAATAAATGTCTCTCAATTCTGTGTAATTCCATATGAGTTCACTTAGTAACCCCTCAATAAACTTTTGATGAGTGCCTTATTGCTACATTCAGAAGAAAGTGGGAAGTCATTTCAATGTAATCTCCTTAAATTGTTCACACATGTGGCCAATTTATCATAAGATCCCCACTTTTGAGTTTTTAACTCATTCCTGTAGATTCCTTGGCTCTCCACAGGTTCAAATATCTTGTGCAACTGATTAATAACTGTGCTCAATCATTGAGTTATACTTTGTCTAACTGTTATATGGTATCGAGCACAGGGCTATCTAAACTCAGAATCAGACATTGCAATGCCCACTTCTGAGTTCATCCAATTCAAGCAATGGCTTGCTTGAAATGTTTGATAAAATGATCCAGATCCTCCTTTGCTGTTTCCCTGAACATTAGCAGGTTTACATACTTTATCTCACCACTGAGTGATGCCTACAGGCTCCAACTACCAGAGTCTCTGCCCAAATCCATCCAATATATGTGTTCTTGGGAGTTACTGAAGTGTGGACATGTATCTCGACAAATGCAGCAACCTGTGATTGCTCAACATCCAGTTGTGTGCATCATCTTACCATATGATGATGAAGTGTGATATCATTACATCCCATAGTGTACTCAGCCACCAGATACAGCTTAAGAGTGTCGTCAGTGTGCCTTGCTGACCTTGAATACTTCTGGCTAACTCTCACTGGATCATAACAAGATGCTATCTGAGCTTCATCCAGGGTGCATATCCCACCTCAGCTCTTGGTAACTAGCTAGCACCTTGCAACATCTGGGCTTATCCAGAAGAACCTTGGAGTCTCGTAAAAGCCATCCAAGTAAGTTTTGGTACTGTTACGCCTCCGTTCGTTAGTTAATTTTCCGTAAAAATTCTTTCCGAAGAAACTTTACCAATACAAGTCCTTTCTTAAATAAAACTGGTTTATTCTTTCTGAATACAACTTTGCGATACACTTAATTTCAACAATCGCTCTATAACAAACGCTATAATTCACAACTCAACAATACTCTGTCTGCAGTTCAATTACACAATGTCCCCGTCGTTTCTTGGCCGGTGTTATATATACAAGACTAGCCTATATCTAGTAGTCTCCCGACGCTTCATGAACGTTCTAGAAGCGCGTGGCGTGATACTAGTGTCACGTGACCTCCGCTGTCGTAACAGTACGTTCGGGCCACTTGCTGTTACCATGACCCTTTTCTATTCCTCTCTGCTTCTGCACACTGGGTGTAGCCATTTGAGATTGTGTTAAGGGTACCTGGGATTACCAAGAGTGGCACCCTTCATCTTCTTGATCCAAAGTATGGATGAGGTATACTAGCATTGCTCTCACCATGGCTGGTGAAAGCTCTAGATCCAGGAGACTGCCTCTCCTAGGCCTTACCGTATTCTCAGACTGAATCTTCGCTACCATTGCATATTCCTTTTCACCATAATAAGTTTTATGTGGTCTCAGAAAGTGCCCTTCCCTGGTAACACGATTGACAAGCTTTACTGTACCAGAGTGTCAACAGAAAAAAGAAGCACTTTCAAAATAAACTCCACAATGATAATTCTGGTCACGGCACCAAAATGTTCCTTTTAAATAACTCTGTGGTATTCAGGCACGTACTTACGTCCAGTAGAGTTCAAAAAATAGACGAAAAAAAACAAAAAAAAAACTGAAATCAAGTACTCCTTCTCAGTTCACCCTAAAGTTCTTACGTTATCAAGTTTATTGAATTATTTTCAACTCTCCAGTTATTCACTATTTCAGACTTCATATTAAATGTTAATAGTTAGCAACATCTAGTTTGACACCTCTTCTGAGGAATGATTTAATTCAATCAAGAAAATAACAGTTATTAATAATATATAGGGTTAAAATATATAAATAACATAGAGTTAAGTTTGCAATTAAGCACAAAGCTACACAATGGATTATTTGTGCTCTTCTCACCACTGGTATCGAAACCCGGTTTCTAGCGTTGTAAGTCTGCAGACATACCACTTTGCCGGCCTAGTATTAAATAATCCTTTCCCTAATCCTGATGTATAGCGACATAAATTAGTCAGAAATTACACTTCACCCCTTTAATCCAATTCACATCGTAACAGTTGTCAGGCAATTTGCTAATTAACCATGCCGGCATAAAGAGCTCTTGTATTGGACGTTTTCTTTACTTTCACTCAGAAGTTCTTGTTAATGTTTGAAATATACCATTATTATACAGTAATTGCCCTTTTTATTTAAAAGAACAAAAAAAAAACATACAACAAAACGAATAATTTTGAAAAGAAACAACAAACGATAACATAGGGAAAAAAATCTAGAGATGATGAAAACAAAGGTTGACGTTCGCGCAGGTGTGGTTACGACAAAACATTATCCATGGAATTTCGGATTTCAAACCTAAGAGCCTCGTTTTCAAACACAGGAGCATTTAACGTAAGACGATGTGACTAACTTTTTAAAATAGAATTGTTGATTTCTTCACTACTTAAATCCCTTATTATTATTTTGTTTGAGAGTTTATTTAATGTAGTTTTAGATGTTACTGATAGCTCATTGATATTATTTATATATATGTATTTATCAAATTTATTACGATTTATTTCTTTGTCTTTGAACTCGAAATGCGTCAATAGTACTAAACACTGAAAAGTAGGACCGATTGGAAATGGTAGGATATCTTTGTCAAATATAAAACAACCTAGCCGGGTTAAAAAAAAAAGTGGAAGTTTCAGTAATATGAATTTCATCCTAATGCTAAGACCGCACGTTGGGATAATTAATAAGTTTAATGGGCTTGTTAATTTTGCACTGTTGAGTAATGAAGTAAAATTAAAATATTTTTCTGTCAGTACCAACTAGCTCACCTACTGACATAGTCCAGCATTTAGGTTTTCATATCGTTTTTCAGTTTATCAGTTTTGTCACTTTTAAGTTTAATGTTAAAACGTTACACTAGATGAACTAGTTAATATGTTTCTCGTGAGATACATATGTCAAGGGAATGCTTTGGGAGGAATCTTCTGACTTGTGCAAAACATACTCTCACTAGCTAAACAGAAATAAATTTGGCAATTGAGTCTTTACAATCAACTGAAAAATATTATGAGCTAAATCTATGTATATATATATAGGTCTTATCATTATACTGTTTTGGAAGTTAGGGTTGTATTTCAAGTAAATGTAGCTGTATGGCTTGATTAGTGTGTTTTAAGTTTGGGAACCAGAGTTCTTCTCTGACTTTTATATATTATGTACAACAACATTATCAAGAATAGTATGATTACAATGTACTAGTGTGTAAACTCTAAATTGCATTTTTTTTAACCTTCATTTTTTAATCATGCAGTGTCCAGTAGTTTGGTAAGTCTGAGAAGTATGCATCCCGTACTTTGCCATGTGGTTACTAGCCACCATTAATTTTTAAAATATCATGCATCACCTCCTTTTGGGATTGTTGTTACTACCTTGTTGTATTTTACTGGATGATTACTTACTGCCATTAATGAGCTACAAAGGTAGTGGCAAATGAATTTGATACACAGGTTACGGAGTTCAACAATTGCAGTATTCTCAATATTCCCTTCATTAAAATAACTGGACACAGGAATTGATTATTACAAGGGAACAATGTCTGTAGTTTTGAAGTTAAGAAATACAAATGTCACTTTTTAACCTACATTTTGGCATTTAGGATAATTAGAGAGAGTCTTGTTTCAAACATTTAAAATGGATAAAAGACTGAATAAGCTACTTGCAAGTAATCTTCATGATTTCTAGAAACATAACTTCAGTGCCACACTTAGTGCAGTCTGTGAAAGACAAGGCTTATTATACTTATTTATTTAAACAAATCTGTTTCTTTCCCTGAGTGATTATTTTTTTTAGATTTCTTTGAATAAGCACTAAGTGATTTTAACTTGTAATTGTATTCTTTCAAAGCTCCATTTCATGTGGTTATGGAGAAATGTTATGGTTTGAGAGGGTAATGTTTATGGTTATTGACAGTGGTCTGAATAGGTAAAATGGTCTTTTATTATCTACTTAATTGTTTTTCATTTCTATAAATTTTTACAACAACTGAAATTTTAGAATTGACTGACTACCTTGATCATGAAAATATTTCCATTCTAAAAATATTAACAGCATCTTTTGTTTCTGAATTTAGTTGACAACCTAACAGAGTAATTTTTCTAAGAGTGTTTATCAGTTAAAAGTATATTAAGTGATATGTCATATACAACATCAGATAACTTGAGATGCATAAAATAACTTAAAAATAATTGGATAAGTTTATACATTTTATAGATTATCAAGACATTTTCAGAAACAAGTTTTCAAAAGCTTATCTTCTTTACATTTAGAAAAAGAAACCTAACTTAGGCATTATAAATTTTATTAATAGCTCATTCTTTGTAATTATGCTTATAAGTTTTCTGTTAGCAGTCATACTTCATGTTTTTTTTGTGATTGAAGTTTTGATGTAGCAGTTGTTACTTGTTATTATAGGTTAATTTTTACTTCATAACTCAGTCTTTGTGATTGTTTTTTACTATGGTTAAAGTTTTGTAGTAGCTGGTCATTCTACAGGTTGATGTTTATATTTGGAAGCTTCATACATGAAGTTGCAGGTTATATTACTTTTCATGATTTGACTTAAGCATTTATTGTTATGGAATGTTTCAATAATTATTTCTGTAGCAAAACTTTTCCCATTATATGTCATTTGTCACAAGTATATATATAATAGAAAAATTAAAATCAAAAGGTTAATCCTTCAATGTTTTGTTTATAAATAAAAAAAATACATCATATCTTTTAGAAAAGTTATTTAAGATTCAGGGTGAGTACTTGAAAGAGCATTGAAAATGCCTTATTTTTGGTTATGTAAAGCATGTAAATAATATGTTTATAGTAATTACTATCATTGAACAATCTGTAATGTATTCAAAGATGTTTCAGTAGTAAAAAATCCTTAAGTGCAAAATAATAGTTTTCATGATTATCTAAAATATTTGGTGGGAAATATATAATATTATTTTAATATTCATTATCCTAAAACAGACTTTTGATGATGAAATATCTAACAACCAAAAAAAAACTTTTTAAAATATACTAACAAAATTTCAATCTGCAATTTTAACTCGGTGAGTGGGAATTAAAGATCTGTTTTGTAATATACTGTAAAAAATACGATATTCATAAGTCATGACATGTTACTGATAAGTTGACAGATTTTTAATAACATCATCTGGTTTGTTAGAAAAAATTAGCCAAGTTGAAAAACAAAAGTATATATCGATTTTAATATTTAGTTTATTTAACCATTAACTACTAGGATGAATTTTTATAGGGGTAATAAACAGAGACGCCTAAGGATTTTTTTAATATAATTTGTTTCAAAAGTGTTATTGTATTCAAATGTTTCTACTAACGTATGACAATAATAAAAAATCTTTGTTATTACAAATATTAACAATAGTTATTAACAACCTAAAATTGCTTGGGGTCACCACAGTCATTAAGGGTTAACTCTGTAACAAATCACGGTTACAGTTCTTGAATAAATATTTCAACAGTATAAAATGTAAAATTAAACAGGATTTTGCAAAACAAAAGTACAATTATTCACATATGTACATATAGTTAAATTTCTATAAAGGACGTTTTATGACTAAGCAATTTGATTGAAAGGTGCACTAAGAGTAGCTCACTGTTTTATTAGGTTATGATGTTTGCATATGAAGCTGACAACTGAAGTTGTATGAGTATATCAAAAGATGAGAAGCTGTTAAACATCTCTAGACTTATAATTGCTAATTTCAAGTCAATCTTAGATCTTCAGAATTCAATTTAAACTTCTTCTCAAACTGTAAGCTTTTGTTAGCTTGTAATCTTTATTAACTGCATGCTTGCTTTGAAATATTGGGTCACCACAATTTTTGTTGTTGTTGTTGTATGAATGAAACTTTAAAATAAGTAACATCATATTGTGTAGCTTTGAGCTACATTCCATATCGTACAATATAAGCTACATTTAAAATGAAGTTTGTGATGATTGTACCAGTGTGAATTTTAAATTTTGTAGGATGGCGGACAGTGCTCCAGCCAGTGGCAGAGGAGGATTTCGTGGGGGTTTTGGAGCTGGTGGCCGAGGTAGAGGTAGAGGCCGGGGACGTGGCCGAGGGCGTGGTAGGGGTCGTGGACGTGGAAAGGAAGGGGACAAAGAATGGATTCCTGTTACCAAACTTGGAAGACTAGTTAAGGATGGCAAAATAAAGTCACTCGAAGAAATTTATCTGTTTTCATTGCCTATTAAAGTAAGTGCTCAAGTAAAAAACATTTTTGTATTTCCAGTTTTGCACCTAATGTTCAAAATATATATAACACTTTGTTATTTGTACTGACAGCATACCAAGATGTCTTAACATATTCTGTTATGTGTGTGAAATTGTTTACTTTTAGTTTTTTAAGGCAAGTCGTACTATATTTTGCTTAGCAAGTATTGTAAAAATTGAGCTAACATATTTATAATTTTCTTAATGATGTTTGTTAGATTATACATTCTTTAAGTTGTATCTCTAATGTATTAAATCAAAGTTTATTATCTTATGGTAAGTGTCAACATACTTTGAATCAATTGTGATGATATTTTTTTAGTTCTGAGTTGAATAGGATATATGCCATTCAGGAATGTTTATTGAAAAAAAGTCTTCACACATTCCTATCCATAGGAAAGTGAAATCATTGACTTTTTCCTGGGCTCTGCTTTGAAAGACGAGGTTTTGAAGATTATGCCAGTTCAGAAACAGACTCGTGCTGGTCAGCGTACAAGATTTAAGGTAATTATGAAGACATAATTCAGAATGTTGCTTTTATTTGCTACAATAATAATTTTCTTTGTTAAACTGTGCTGTTTTTATGAATGTATGGATTCAGGTAAGATGCATTTCACAGCATGACAAACTAATATAGGAATTGTTGTAAGCTATATTTTCAGTTGGATAAATGTCTCTTAAACATTATTAGTCTATTAGGCCTGTAGTAGTTTCAGAGTTTGAGTTCAAAATTTGTTTGTGAACTTAGGCTTACCTTGTGTCAAAGTGAACATGTAAATGTTACTGAAGAAGTAAATTGATTCATTATAGTTATGTGGACTGGACTTCACATTATTTACACAAAATATTTTTAAAGAACCTTCCCAGTGATAGAACACTTCATAAAAATTTGTGAAAAGAGGGAAGCACACAAGATAATAAAAACTACCAACCTAAATGATAACAGACTATATTCCAAAATGTGACATCCACAAGCGATAATGAACAACTATTGTGGTCAACTGAAAGATGCTTAGGCAAAATATATTAATTTGTAACCAGATATTCCGTGGATCAAGAATAGTGTAAAAAAATCTTAATAGTAAACAGTCACTCCATACTGCCCAAAGATAAAGATGTGTTGGGCACAGTGGGATTCCTTATGTTTACAAGAGGGTTTGTTATATTAGAAATGGGAAGATACCAGTGGACAGAAACATTGACAGTTGATACTTTCTAAGTCTCTACATTCTGAAAAACTGCATCACCTTCACAACTTTCCAATGGCTGGACACTTAGGTGCTGAGAAGACATTGGAGTAAGTAAGGGAGTGCTTCTGTTGAGTGGATGCTGGGGAGCTGTAGAAAATTGGTGTAAAACATGATCAGCTACAGCAGTTTTGTATTGAGTTACTGTCAGTATGTTTGTTCTTCTGCTATAGAGTAACAGTGGTAATAAATACATCATGGTTGTGATGGACTATTTCACAAAATTTCCAGAATGTATCAGAACTACATTTTGACAGTGTTTGGCATTTCATAGGTAATGTGCTACCACTGAAAACTGATCACAGTTGGGAAGGATATATAAAAACCCTTTCTGGTGTAAAAATTTCATACACTTGCATTTTAATGATGTGCTCATGTTGGAGATTTAGAATTTCCAAGACATGGATAACCCTTATGCTTAACAGCATTAGAAAACAAAGGAATATCGATCAACTTGAGGTACAAGGACCATTCATGAAGAGACTTGCAACAAATGATTCCCCAGCCATGGTAGGCAAAGTGTGGAGTCATGTAAAGGGTGAGAATTCATGAGCACAAAGGTCAGTGACAAAAGCCATTCATGTATTCCAAGCAACAGTACACAACATTTTCTGGAAGTATCTCTGTCTGGAAAAATGACACAGGTCACAAGTACACAAGTTGCTTTCAAGCAACTGGAAAATTAAACAGATATACTATTTCATACAAAGACATATGGAATAAGTTGCCAGCCACAACACCTATGGATTTTTTTGTGATTAGACTGTTGAAATGGCTACTGGAAAACTACCATCCTTACACACTAGATGGATTATGGAAAGCTTGCATGGAGGATTGACATGCTTTGGACACAATAGCCTTATAATAGAGTCTTTTGCAATGGAAACTATGCTGCAGGGCTATTTTCAAGATGCTTGTTCATCAGATAAAGCATGACAGAATGTGGCAATATAGATTTTAAAAATGTGGTGAGACTCCAGAAACATTTTAATATAATATACTCAATTTTTGAACCTTAGTTTTGATTAAATGTTTATTTGTAAATCATCTATTTAAATAGATATTCTAGGGTAGAGTAAATAACACTTTTATTGTTATCAAAGGCAATGCTGGGTCAATTACAAGAATGTTACTGACCACATCAAGGAATTTGAAATAGCAATTAAGACAGAGATGAGAACTTAAAGCCTTTCTCTTGCATTAGACAATGATACTCTTATGCAAGTACTAGATCATTAGAATTAACTTAAAGAATGAATGTTAGGATTAATATGATATTGTAATACATGGGCACGTTTTATGTTTTTTACCTGCTTTAGTGATATAGAAATAAAATATATTTTAGTGTTATTTATTTTCTGTACTGTAATTGCAGCAACTTATGGTCCAGAAAGTCATTAAGATTAACTTGTTTTAGTTGCTTCATTTTTTTGTTCTCTGTAGTAGGTAATGTCTCTTCTACCCGAGATGATATTATAGTAATACTTAAAAGGATTAACACTGTAATATCCTTTGCTGGTTACTTATGAAATGGACTAAATTTAATAGCTGACCAATGTTGTGAATGAAAAATGGTGTGTCAACTGGACAAAGAAAGCGAGTTTACTCATTGAATTCAGGTTCGCTTTCTTGAACCAGTTCTACCAGAAGGTTATAGAGAAAAGACTTGCTTTTAAAATCATCATGTTTAGTTCAACAGAAGTCTATCCTGAGAGAAAGAAAGCTGTGGGACTAAGCACTCCTTTATTGAATCAACTGTCTTTTCATGTGTGCAAGTATGTATGCTGCATTTTCTTTTTGCCTGTTTTATAATAAATAATGAAGATTGTTTTAATTTTTTCAACTTTGTCCGGTCTCATAGTTTTAAACAGACTAGGAAGATTTATTTAAGTTATCTGATCAAATACTGTAGTTACTTGCAGAATTGTCTATATGATATTTGTTGGAAAATTAGTAGTTTATGCTTGAAATCGGTAATGTGCAGAGGACATTAAAAAGGCAGGGGATCACTGACAAAAAATTCACTTTTCAAGAATTTGGTGGGGTAGAGATATTAGAGAACACTATTGGTTGCTTCTGGTACATATAGGGTAACCAGACATGTCTTTTAGTAGTTGTGGAAATTTTTCTATGATAGAGGAAAATAGCACTTTTGGGGCATAAGAGCAGAAAAACAGGGGCTTGAGCCCAACCAGCCATCCTCCTGTGTATGTCATTGCCTGAAATACTACCATAATAGTAGTAATCAGACATTGGAAATCAACTTTAAGTAAGGAATAGTCTTCTTTTGGTATTAGCTTTATTTTAACAAAACCATCTTATTTACTGCAATCTCCAAGCTAATACATGTAAAATGATATTAGTTTAGTTGTATTACATTGGAAAAAAGTTCAATTGCTGTAATATCAGGTTTAAAATATTTTTATGATCAGATATATATATTTGGTTTTAATGATTAGTGATAATTTCTTTTTTTTTCAGGCTTTTGTGGCTATTGGTGATTATAATGGACATATTGGACTTGGTGTAAAATGTTCCAAAGAAGTAGCCACAGCTATTCGAGGAGCCATTATATTGGCTAAGCTTTCTGTCATTCCTGTTCGTCGAGGTTATTGGGGGAACAAAATTGGTAAACCTCATACTGTACCATGTAAGGTGTGTATCTGTATTGTAAAAGCTAGTATTGGATATTATGAGGACAAATGGACTGAGATTTAAACTCCTAGTTATCTCACATAAGTCTGTGTAGGATTGTTTCTCCTCACAAGAAAAGTCCTATTTAATGAGGAAAGTACTAATACATGACAATGTTATAAGCTTGTAAGTAACTTAAAACAAAAGGAAACACATTGACAGATGCACAGTCTGCAAAGCTTTTCCTGGTTACTAGAGTTACCATTAGCAGTTGTAGTTTTCACATTGTGACCACATTAAAGGTCTTCCCTCTAAAAATTATAAGTAACATAGTTTGTAGTTTGAAGAAGTTAACTGAATATATACTTCACACGTAAAACTATAATCTGCATGTGTTCTCAATGTATTCATTTATTCTGGAAATGTTGTCAACATACAGAGTGCACCAAAGTTATTCATTCAATAATAAATGCAATAATACAAAAAGATTAATGTAACAGTGCCAAAATTTGCATATTTTTAAAGAATGCAATGGCATGTCACTCCAAATAGTATACTTACTACCTATATATGTGGTTCACAATTAATTCTCAACCATTTGACAGTGCAATGCTGCCATTAATAGACTTATGACTGCATCTATTACTATGTGACAGTTTTTTCAAGGGAGGCTACTTTTATAGCAAAGGAATGAAAAGCCCAGGGCATATCAGTTTCAAAGAACTATTTATAACATGGTAAATACCATCAGTAAGGGAACATCAAAACACTCGTATGAAGATGTAAAACCACCTGACAGCATTTTATAACCTACTGATGCTTTCATAGCCATAATTTAGATTTTTCATCGTGAAATCACTCACCCCCCACACAGAAAGTAATTACAAACAAGTTGAAAATTTCCCAAGCAACTCAGAGAGAAATAAAAACAGTATAAAGTCATAAATACCTTACACATGAGAGATGAACATTTGTTGCTGTATTAGAAGAATCCTCAACTTACTTAAGTGACTGTGAAAAGAAATGGGCAAGTTGGTACCAACCATGGGGGCAATGAAAACTTTCCAATACGGTACAGAGAATATAAAATTATAAAATGTTTTGGGCAGGCTTTATGCTTGCCAGAGATTTCTCCTATAATGGAAAATTTGAACTTCAAAAAGTGCATGGTATAGTAAAGGTGAACTTCAGGTACTGTCCAGAGAATGCACTGATAGCAGTTATATAAGATGAACTTCTTGCATTATAAGGCTAAGATGTCAAGATGATATGTTTATACCAGGATAAAGCATTAAGTCACACACCTAAGTACACAGCAGTATTTCTTTGAACCATGGAAAATTAAACCAGTGTTCCTGCTCTCCCTATCACTGATATACCTCTGAGGTCATCTTACTGCGCATTTATGGACATCTACATTTTTGCTTGATTAAACCAGTATCCATGTACAGTGGAGGATCTGTGCAAAGTCTGTCAAGATGCATGGTCTTAGATTGACATTCTTATCCTTCATAGACTTGAAACAATAGAAATTGCAGTGATGAAATAGGGAATAATTATGGCTATCAGATGGATCATGACTGATGACAGAGTAAGTAGTTCCATGGGCAGCACAGAACCTGGAACATCAGTCTTATAAAGTGTAATTAATTCTCCTAATAAATATTAATATCTTGTCCATTGAAAACAACTTTAAAAATAAAGAAATACCTTGATGAAAGCTAAGATACTTTTTATGTAGAATGGCATAACAGAGGTATATTAAAAGTACATAAGTACTTTTACTAAAATAAAAACAGAGTCTGAAATGTGCAAAATTTCTAACTGGTCCTCCAGGGATTCTAACTTGGTCCTTATCAGATTTAACTGGTCCACTCCAGAAACACGTATATATATGTATTAAATTTTATCAGTTGCAGGTGTAAAATTTTTAACAAAAGACAAAATTGCAAATATGTATGTGCATATAACTGTAACATTAAACAAAACTCTAATTGAAAACAACAGGTTTTGATTATATCACTATTGGAATAGACAGTTTTTATATTAATTCAGATAAACTAAAAAATAATGTAACATGAGATTACTATTTTAATACTGACCAAAAGGTAAGGCATTTCTCCATTGAGATGTTAATATCCATTATAGTTCAGTTGGATCAATCCTTCCATCCATATAATCCAGAAATCTTCTTTTCATGTCATACATCATAGGGATTTCTCGTAATGCTTTGAAAATAAGCCAGCAATGCCCAAAAAGTTAGACTTCATTTGAGAGATTGAAGTAAAGAAGATACTTTCATGAGATGAAAACACGATTATGGTTTTGTAAAAAAAATACAGGAATGCATGTTTGATAACAAAGTAAAATAGGAAAAATGTTGTAAATTTTAATCGGCCCAACAGGCTAATTTTTTAATTCTAGTTAGTCCATGGGCCTCGTAGCTGTTCAGGGCCAACTATAAGACACAAATTTGGGACCCTGATATCTAATGTGGTTGGGCATCTAACTTTAGTTAGTTTGGTTGTGATGAATCACTACTTATATTTTAGATATCTAAAAATCAAAAACTTTTGAAGTGATTGTTTATTGCTTTTTTTATGTGTATGTGTGTTTACCTTGTTGTAAGCTTTATTTTAAGTTTTAATTTAGGTTTTTGCTAGAAAGTGCAGGATATTATGATCCAGAAAATTTATGTAGTGAGTAGAAGGCAAGTATAGAATGAATGCAAATAAAGTGAAGCAGAGAATCATTAATTAATGAATGAGCAGTTATTGAGTATTCAGTGGATAATTCAGTTCAGATTTAGTAGTGAGAGTTATTGCATCTATTCAGTTATATCAATTAGTGAGGAAATTCTATAAATAAGTTTGTGTGTTAGGCGTACCATTAGTTTCAGAATATCTGTTCAAACCATGTTTGTGAGCTTAGGCCATAAAATTGTGTCAGGAAGAACATAGCCTATAGAAAAAGTAGTTGAACTACATTATTCATTATCATCACATGGACTGGACTTGGCATTATTTTTACCAAATAATTCAAAAGAAACCATCCAGTGATAGAACACATTACAACAGTATACATATGCATATATACACAACATGTACATATTTTACAAATAATTATTTCAATAAGTTACAGGAAAATGTGGTTAGGCATATCTTACAAGTAATTATTTCAATAGGTTACAGGAAAATGTGGTAGTGTTCTGGTACGACTTATACCTGCTCCTCGAGGCACTGGTATTGTGTCTGCTCCAGTTCCTAAGAAACTATTAACTATGGCAGGAATTGAAGATTGCTACACTTCAGCTAGAGGGTCAACTGCCACACTTGGTAATTTTGGTGAGTCTTTTCTCTATGATAAACTGTAGAAAGTGTCAGCAGTAATTTTTAAGTGTTCATATTTACAAAGTCACATTATAAATATTTTATTCATTTGATCACACATTGTATTTCAGACTTGCATGTATTTGTTTTAATGTAACATGTCAAATTGTAGATATTTTTATATTCGTTTATTGTGTAACACACAAGCATTACATTTGGTGTCTTTGTGTATTTGTTCATTATATGCCACATTACAGATGTTTTTTGAATTTGTTTACTGTGTAACATACATGCATTACATTTAGTACTTTTTGTTGTTTGTTCATTACATGTCATGTTACGGATCTTTTTTGTGCCAGTTGCTTATATCACATCACATTTGTTCTTACATTATTATATTCCATAAAATCAGCTTTACATGATGTACTTTTTCTGTGTTTGTTTGTAATATGATGTCAGACCTTCAGTTGTCTTGTAACATTAAAGACCTTTCATGTTTTTGTTCATAATAACTTATTTCTTAATTGAGTTTCATATTAGTTGTAATTTAGTGTTTTGTGAGTGTATGTAAACAACATTAACGTAAAAACTTTTCAGCCAAAGCCACGTACCTAGCTATCCAGCAGACCTATAGTTATCTAACACCTGACCTATGGAAAGAGAATGTTCTGGCTAAATCACCATACCAAGAGTTTACTGACTATTTGATGGCCACACAGAAACAAGTGGGGACTGTTAGTCAGGAGCAACCACCCTTCTGAGTTATTCATTATTTTTTTTTTTGTTTACTTTTATGAATAATGTAATCCAAACACCATGGTATTCCATACATGTAATAACCAATTAAAAAGTACTATTACTACTAATAAAAAAAATACAAAACAAATAATGTTTTTTTTCTCTTAATTTTGAAACTCGTGTCATTCCTATCTACGTATTTTTGTTTTGGTTGTTTTTAGAAGAAGGTTGAATAGTTTGCTAATCAAAGGTTCGATATCCTCTGTTATTTACACTTTAGATATGATATTTAAAGGCATAGCAAATATTTGGAATAGTAATATCCTATTAACATAAAAAAAACTTTTGAGCATTATTTTTTTATATCAATAAACTTTTAGATATATTTCACTGAAGCTATTATTATGTTCACCATGAGTAGCACTTTGGCAAGTGAAATGATCTGGTAATTGAAAAGCTTAATGGTCTGAAAAACAGTCTGATAATGAAACGATTCATTTGTATTGAGTTTAACTTTTAACGTTCCTGGACAAAAAAAAAAATAACGAATGCAGAAGACTAAGTAGTATGTTTTTATGATTGGCACACATAATATGTTACATTAACTAACCTGGATTACCCTCATTTTATTAATTTTATCTACTTACTGAATTTGTTTTCTTGTTATTTAAAACCTTTAGTGCCAAAATGATAAAATCTTTGGGTGCTGTAATAAATAAAGCAGACAGGACAAAGTACAGAAAACATGGTTTCACTCTATTAAATGAATGTTGTATCACTCTTTCTTTACTATTACTAATAAGAAATTAAAAAGTAAAAAGAATGGAGACAGTATATTACGAAATACATTAAAACAAAAAGGCTTTTCTTTTGTGAGGCCTGCAGGTAGGCATTATAAACCACATCAATGTTCTTGAGAAGTGGTCAATCTTAGTACAATTATCCTCCTGTGTTTCCCACAAACTTGATCATATGCAAAATTAATTAATTGTTATTAGACTTGAAACGGTCACTGCAACATTTCTTTTAATATGACCTTCTAATGAATCAAATAATTAGAGTAACATTTGGTCATGTTTTTTTTTCTAAACAGTCCAAAATCTGTTTGAAAAGGAAACTTTGGTATTAGAATGTTCACTAGTATATGTTTCAGACATTGGTTTGTGTGAGAGTTTTTAATAATTATCTATGAGAAAGCCACAAGATAGTTGTGTTGTTCTAAATTTACATCTTGGTGGCAAAAAGACAACAAATGAGTCATTTTACAAGTTATTTTTGCTTTCTTAACTGAGTTCCCCCAAGCAGAAAGTGTTTCTTATACCATCATTGGCTAAAGTTTCTTTTCAAATTTTGAAAAAGAGATAGATTCATATTTTCTCTCTATTGTGCCAGTATTGTGAGCACTAGAAAACATATCATTCTTGCAATCTTTAATCAAGCCAGTACAAATATTTCTAATTTTGGAAAGTTCTAGTTAATGCTCAAGCAAAGGAAAACTATCATGGTGTCTAATAGGTAAATGTTAACTTTCTGTGCAATACTTCAAAGATGATCTTGGTATCATCAGCTTTCCTTTGGCCATTATTGATAAGGGAACCTAGATTACAATTAACTAAATCACATTATAGTTGACAGTGTTTTTATTTGCTTGCTCTATATTTTCATAATAAATTGAGAACTCAACTTTAATGCTTGAGAGATCGAGAGTTATTTTCCTAAAAGAATGTTTGCTAGGTTTTTAATAACTGTCATTTCTTACTGATCAAATGTGAGATAACTCATTATTTGAGGTAATCAGACTAATAAAAATAAAATGTAAGGTAACCACATGATCAAATCCAGTGTATTTTTCCCCATAGACTGGACTATTGCCACTTGCTGAACTGTATAATTTACTGTATGAAGGTCATTTAGTCCTAAATATTCACATTGTTGTAGTCACTGTGTCACAGCTTGGACAGCTATTAATTTAACCCTTGTATGATTCTTATATCTTTGTTCAGGTATGTTCATGTAATATTTTTTAAATATTTATGCACTTTATACACTTAATTAATCATGTCTCTATTGATTGGATGCCCTATTGTCATAAACATAAAAACAAATGAGAAAGGCAAAGTCCACAGAAATAACAGAAACCAGCAAGAGAACTGTAGAAACACCCCACTTATAAACCCAGGTCAAAACCTTAGTGAGATATCCTACAATTCCATGGGCTACATACTACAACCAATAGTCTACATATAATTCTGGAATATACCAAGCCAGTTGTATAGGTTTCTCTGTTATGTTTGAATATGCTAACTTATTAAACATCCACACCAAAATGTGTTTATACTAGAAGAACAAAGTCTGCTGTATGTAACCTTAACCATATTTTGATGGTATTTGCATGTGGCATGCGATTCTCAGAATAATACTAGATGTTAATACTTGATACAGCTGTAGTATACAGGTTCACTGATGTCTGATAGAAAAGCTAAAAGTTAATGCATAAACACAGGTTCAATATTTTTAAAAATAAATTTAACATGGGCAGCAAAGGAAAAACAAGTAAATAGAAATGAACTGACAAATAAGATCTATGTTCACAAAAATGTCTGTGATATTACCAAATCCTTGGTCAGCTTCCAATTCTGTATGCTACTGTTTGGTTTCTTAGGTTGCCTTTAAGAGCTACATCTCATCAAAAACATCATATGTGTGAAAAAAAGGTGCAACTAAAAAAGGATTCAGCATGTGACTTAAAGGCATGAAATCAAAATTGGTGGCCAAACTGGTAGCTACACTTATAGCACAGATAAGAATTTTACCACAAATATTCATTCATTAGTTAGCCAGGATGCATTTTTTTCAACTTAGGGCATGGTGGTGGGTATAATAAAATACGTGGCCTAAGGAATGATTATTTCCTGTAAAATACTTATCAATGCTACAAGTGTATTTACCAATTTGGCTGCCAATTTCAATCCTTTAAGTTGCACACTCAATCCATTTTTCGCCACACCTTTTTTCCCACCTAAAGGTGTTTTTGATTAGATATCATGACTTTTTCTCAATACCACCAACCAAAAAACCACAGCAAGTAAGAAAGTGACACTCGATAGTAATGAACATTAGCCTTAGAATTTCAACCCTATTATTCGGAACAGACCTTTACTTTACAGAACCAACCAGATTCTTTATAATATATGGTGGTAGTTTTTCCTCTCTAAAACAGTTTTAATAGCTTCCTTTATAGTAGCACCGTGGGTTTTAGATTAACAGTTTCTTGTCATCACCTTCATGCACTCGTACAGCCATATCAAGCATAATTATTTATGCTGATTGCTTAAGCTTATATCACGTGATGCTAAACAATCTTTAATCAGGATAATTTAATAAAATTTTGTGTTGGAAAGTTGGCAATGAATAATCAATAATAACCTGTACGATTATTTTGAAACTTGAGCTAGAAACTGTTAATAAAACACTGTGTCCTGCAACAGGTTGTTTTGGCTGCGAGACACACTACTATATGCCTTGATATGTACACACACACACACACACACACACACACACACACATATATCAAGAATAGTAGTTATGACAATCTTATGTGCCTTAGATACTTGTCTCACATGCTATTGTAGTTTACATTGTTGAAAAGTGCCTTACTAATAATTAGGTGGCCATTATGTAATGCAAGTAGTCCTGGGTTGAAATTCTACTCACAGGAGACACCATAAATGGATTACCACAGAAAAACTGCCACCCAAAGTGGGGTCATTCAAAATCCTGAAATAAGGCCCAAGGACAATACAGCTTTTTCTGTTCATATCTTTAGCACATTTTGAGTTGTCAGTTGTTACCACAGTTTTTGCCCCCCCCCAGTGGCACAGCGGTATGTCTGCGGAATTACAACGCTAGAATCCGGGTTTCGATACCCATGGTGGACAGAGCATAGATAGCCCATCGTGTAGCTTTGTGCTTAATTACAGACAGATCTTACCACAGTTTTTTTCTGTATTTCAACAACAACGACATTTATGCTTAGGGCTTGTTTAATTTTCGTCCATCCATAATCCTAAGTATCTGCAAGAG